GCGCCCGCCACAACGCCTGGCCATTTTTTGGTTGCAGCCATCATTGTTTTTTGGCAGGCCCGGGCTGGGTATTCGAACCCGCCACCTTAGGTGTATGTGGCCAGCGCCTTAGCCGCTTGAGCCACAGGCACCGAGCCTAGGCTGTTCTAAGAATAAGTTCTGTTATGACTTTCAGTCCTCTTGGACATTCTTACTTTTCAGGAGTCTTAAATCTTGCTCAGCTCTGAAAAAATGTTCTTGGGCTTATGATACCTAGCACTCCTGAATCCTCCATAAAACCCCAACTAGGCAGTTTCAGTTGGGCACCACTTAAATAGGCTACTTCCTGAGTCAGGCTGAAGATGTATTCACTGCCTAGACTTTCTGTATCTCTTTTGATTATCCCATCTCCTTACCAAATATTCCTCTGGTAAAAATGCCAGTCTACATTTAAGGTCAAAGCCAAATCATTTTATAAAATCTGCCCTGCCCATGTAATACTCCCAGGGACTAAGTCTTATAGCATACCCTATTTTAACGTTCTTTAAACTTTTTTGACTATGATCAGCAGAGGGCAACACAGTGAGACTCTTGTCTAAAAAGAAAAAAGTTTTCATCATGACCTAGTACACTTACACGTGTATATATCTATGTACACATATCTGTGTTGCAATATCAAAATACATCACAAACATCACATTACATGTGATGTGCTTTGATTTTCTAGTTGATTAAATTCTTATTACTATGTACAAATACTGATTTCAAATCCTGCAGTTTGAAAGGCAAACACACTACTCTAGTTTTTTTGAAGATAGTCTCACTTTGTTATACTTGGTACAGTGCCATGGAGTCATGGCTTATAGCAATATTAAAGTCTTAGGTTCAAGTGACCCACTTCCTTCAGCCTCCCATGCAGCTGGGACTCTAGGCACCTGCCATAACATCCAACTATTTTTAGAGACAAGGTCTCTCTCTTGCTCAGGCTGGTCTTGAACTCCTAAGCTCAGGCAATCCACCTGTCTTGTCCTCCCAGAGTGCTAGGATTATAGGCAAGCCACTGAGCCCAGCCCACACTACCTTATTTCATAGAATATGAGTAGGAAACTAATGACAGTACAAATTAACATCTTTTCCTCTCAGCCTAGTGTTTGATACGTTATTTATACAGCAGGATAACAGGATAACAGATGAGTAAGATTTCAAAATCAACAAAGCCCTTGCAGCAATGATTGTACTCATTAAAATTCACAGCTCAGTGCCTGTAGCTCAAGCATTTAAGACACCAGCCACATACACCAGAGCTGGCAGGTTCGAATCCAGCCTGGGCCTGCCAAACAACAATGACAACTAAAACCAAATAATAGTAATAATTGGGCGTTGTGGCATGTACCTGTAGTCCTAGCTATTTGGGAGGCTGAGGCAAGAGAATCACTTAAGTCCAGGAGTTCGAGGTTGCTGTGAGTTGTGATGCCATGGGACTCTACCCAGGGCGACAGCTTGAGGCTGTCTCAAAAAATAAAATAAAACATAAAATCCAGGAGACAGAAACAAATGAAGCCCTCCTAGCAACATCGATAAGCCAAGCAAGCTGAAACTTGCTCAGGTGAATCAGAAAGGATGCTGTTGGCAACATGAATGTATTCTATTTAATATTAAGATGCCTCCGTTTCTCCTTCCCATTCCACAGTTCTTGCTCTTCTAATACTTTATTTTCTCCTGTTTTTAAAAAAGTGACTCAAATAATTTTACTATCTTCGGTCCCCACTTTACAAAAGGGTCCTTTTGGGTTTTTTTGTTGTTGTTGAGCAGGACTGGGCCAGGTCTGAATCTACTATTCCTGGTGCTGCACAGGGCCAGTGCTCTAACGACTGAATATAGGTACACAGCTGCTTCATATACTATTAATGCCAGTGCTGGCCTGTCAGCTTTGACATTATTAAAGCAGCACATTCCCCTGTAATGCTCCAAGGCTTTCAACACCTGATTCTGGTTCTAATAGGATTCGGGTTATTACTCATACTTTCCTCTTCACATGATTTAAAATGTTGAAATAAAAGGGCCAGGAGTGGTAGCTCATGCCTGTAATCCTAGCTCTCCGGGGAAGCCAAAATGGGTACCGTGTTTCCCCCCAAAATACAACACTGTCATATATTTATTTTTTCTCAAGACACACTAGGGCTTATTTTCAGAGGATGTCTTATTTTTATTAAGTATGATACAACAATCTACATTTATTCAAATACAGCTAAGTCATCTTCTTCTGGAACCTGACAAGGGGAGCCACGCGGGGCTGGTGCTAGTGATGCCTAAACTCCTTTCCCCTAGCCGTTGGCACGTGCCCAATAGGATGCCTGAGACCGTGGTTACAACCCGCACAAGTATGAACGGCTCAGAGAAAGGAGCTGTGACAGATGAAAGGTATTCCAGTCTTCCTTACCGCTTGCTCAGCAGCAAAATGCATAGCATGGCTATGCAGATAAGCTGTATAGCCACGCCCATCACTAGGTCTTATTATCAGCATAGGGCTTATATTTAACAAATGCATAGAAATCCTGCTAGGGCTTATTTTTTGGGTAGGTCTTACTTTTGGGTAAATATGGTAGATTTTTTTTGAGTTCAGGAGTTCCAGACCAGCCTGAACAAAATAAGACCCATCTCCACTAAAAATAGAAAAATTAGCTGGGCACTGTGGTAGGTGCCTATAGTCCCAGCTAAGTGGGTCACTGAGGCAAGAGACTCTTTCGAGCCTCGATATTTGATGTTGCTGTGAGCTATGATGCTGCCACTACACTCTAGCCTGGGCAACAGAGCAAGACCCTGTCTCAAAAAGAGAAAAAGTTGAATTGAGTTTCAGATCACAAATTAAAAATTTTTCCTATGTAAATTTTTTCCCACTCAGTTGAGAAATACTTTATTGTTCTGTGAGTGGTCTTTAAAAATGAGAGGTTCCACTATACCACCAAGAAACCACTTGTTAATGCCTTTTAGGAACACAGTGCTTGAATTGTATTAACATGTAGACATCAACGGGGAAGTAAATGGACAACAAACACTACTCATCACAAGTGACTAAAAGAAATGCTATAAAAAGGTCAACTCTAGAACTTTACAAGATAAACCCACATGCACAGGTTTATGAACAGAGGAGTACAAACCATTGGAAGTGAAAATTACTGGGGCTGGGCCTGGAGTAAGGCAACAAAATTGAGGGGACGTCAGGGACCAAAGCAAAAATTAGAAGTTAAGTTTGGCATAGAAAAACATCTTTTACCATTACTAGAATCTAGACTATGTGAAATAAACATTTACAGATGAAATGGAGATTCATCCTGTAAGGCCTAAGTTTTTCTCAGAATTTCAAGCAGTTATATGCTTAGAGTGGAGGTTTAGAACATCTGTAGCACAAAACCACTGAGCTACAAACCACTCACTTTCAAAGTCTACTATAGCCAGGCATGGTGGCTCACACCTGTAATCCCAGCACTTGGGAGGCCAAGGCGGGTAGATTGCCTGAGCTCAGGTTGGAGACCAACATGAGCCAGAGTGAGACCTTGTCTCTAAAAATCACTGGGCACTGTGGTGGGTGCCTATAGTCCCAGATACTTGGGAGGCTGAGGCATGAAACTTGCTTGAGCCCAAGAGTTTGAGGTTGCTGTTGAGCTATGATACCACAGACTTTATTGAGGGCTACAAAGTGAGACTCTGTCTCCAAAAAAAAGGGGGGGTGGTACTACAAACTCACATGCCAACAAACTCTTCTTCCATCAATTGTAGCTGCAGAGTAACATGATATGATTCAGTTAGGGCTTAGATAGGAAGATGCATACTATTCATCTATAAACCCCAAAGATTATACTTACTAAACTAATGTGAGTCAGGCATCTGCAGATGCTCATGAACCACAGGAATAGGAAGGAAGGAAGTTAACTTTGCATGTAGCCAAGTTATCTTTGGAAACTATAAACTAAGATTAAAGGCTAATGACTGATTTACAATCTGTCCTGTGAATTTACTTTTTTTTTTCTTCTGAGACAGAGTCTCCCTCTATTGCTTTAGCTAGAATGCAGTGGTGTCATCACAGCTCACTGCAACCTCAAACCCTTGGGCTCAAACCATCCTCCTGCCTCAACGTCCTTAGTAGCTGGGACATAGGTGCACACCACAATGCCTGGCTACTTTCTCTATTTCTTGTAGAAATGTGGTCTCATTCTTTTTCAGGGTGGTCTTGAACTCCTGAGCTCAAGCAATCCTCCCAGCTCATCCTCCCAGAGTGATAGATATGAGCCACCAGCATGAATTTGCTTTGGTATGGAACAATATACAGGGATGCTCAAGAACCTAGTTACTATACTGGCTTTAATTTTTCTGGTCCCTCCATTACATGCCTAGGAGAACACATGAACCAAATACTTAGGTTCCTCAGAATGTATGATAATGGTAAATGGAGATGGGAACACACATTAACAAATGTCAGTTAACTATAGCATTTAATAAATGTCAACTCATGCAGGGTAAAGATGAAACTGTTCAGGTGCCTCAGTAAATCTGGGAACCAAGTGCATGTAGAATATAGTGTGTAGTGGAAACTTTTATGAGGGTGCAATCCTGCAGATCTCCAAAGTTCTTTAAGTACCACTTAAAAGTCACAGTGATACAAGAAATGCTAGAAGTAGAGGTTCTTGACAACTTGATTACCAGCAATACACAATGATGTCTAGATATTCCACATGATTCTGTCCTCAACAGCCCTCATTCTGATCACTAGAGTGCCAGCATATAGACAAAAGAGGGGCAGCAATAAAACACTCTTAGCTGTTCTAGCTGGAAGACCATGTCAAAGCCCATATTAAAGTAATAGAAATGCACAGACATGTATCTACATTAATCACTTGTGCAGTCTCAACTGCCATTATCCTGTTTAATCAATTGTAAGATGTGTTATTCTTCACATATAAATATCCCAGAAATTGGGATACTACTGACCCAATAGTACTTATAATGTAATGAGACACTGTCTCTTAAGAAGAAGAAAGGATCAGCATCTTACCAACACATCAGGCCAACAGAAGCTTTAGTCCAGCTGCAGGGAGAGGGCACTGTGAGGTCAGCCTACCAACACTTCAGGTATACAGAGCTTATCCTGACCACAAGAGCTGTGGCTTACATGGTAAGCCTCGAATGCTACAGTTAATAGGTGGTTTGGCTAGTAGCAAATTATAATAAATAAGGCAGCATCTATCCACTGTTTCACAGTACCAAAATTCACCAAATTTGTATCCTTATTTCTTTGAAACATTGTTAAATATTAGTATCTGTTTTCAAGTGTGATTCCAGCAGCTAGGGTGGCGTCATCATTATTACTGAACATCCCACTTTCATTTGCCTTCATTGATGTCACTGTCGCTGTCACTGCTGCTGTCACTGCTGCTGTCACTATCACTGTCACTGTCACTGGTCAACGCAGTTAGGTTTTCTAGGGCTTCCCTGCAAAGGTAGGAAACCAGAATTACAATGCAAATCAGTTGGGAGCTGGGGTTTTTGGTATATGACATTCACCTCTAACCTATCCATTTTGAAATCAGAAAAAGGGACCTTGCTTTAGCTGCACTAAACTATATTAAGAACAAAGGAAAAGGCTCCAATAGCCAAAATGACAGGCTTCCCCGACTTGTATGACAAATGAGATAATTAATAAATTATTACATTTTAACTTTCTGTTAGGAAATACAGGGAGGTTATCAGTTCAGAATCTGTAGCCCAAAAATCTGGAATTGTGAAATGGTCGGATGGACAAATGGTCTGCCCCATTTTATAAATCTTCTCTTATGGTAAAGACACAAGACTCACTTACTTTTGTTCCTGGTTGATGGCAAAGTCAGTCATTACTCTCTGGGAGAGGCTCTCGCAAATAGGTAAGCTGAAAGCACTTGCCAGTTTCACTACTTCAATGGCCTGGGCAGGGCTGTTGGACGCTTCTGCACTGTCCATGAACTCATTCAGCAACTCGTTTCTGTAAAAGAAGGGCAAAATGTGAACATTCTCCAACTAACTCCTAAACTCATCCAAAGATTTACAGGCAAGATCCAGTATAAATTCAGTAATAAAATCATCAATAACACTTTGGAAGCAAAGTTACATGAAGTCTAATTTTAAAGAGCCAAAGAGATTATGAGTATTTATTCAATATGATTTAACATATCTCTTATGTGTTGCTACTTGAGCATAGAAAAAATAGTGCTTGCCTCAGGATGCCCTGGTTGTAGGGGAGATTGACAATTTGCCTGCCTAACTGACAGAAGAGTGCCCAAATGCCATAGCTGAAGCAGGTGAAAAAATTGCAATCACCCACAATGAGTCAAACCCACAGTGGCTACTTCCAGGCTCAGCCAGTTAATTATAACTTACCTAGGGATCTTATTATGCTTCCTGAAAAGCCCCAGCATTTTCCTGTTAAAGATGAGAAAGGAAAATGATTATGAATACTAACTAATAATATCTTTAAAAAACAATCAGATAACTGTAGCTGTTCTGCCCCTTTGTAAGCTTCTGAAGACACACATCTGTGGGCCCCACTGGCTCCCACCTGTCTATGCATCAGCATCACCTCAGATGCTTAAAATCCTTTCCCTCAAATTACAAATTTCACAGGTAGATCTAATTTGCTGCCAATGCTGAGAAATGCTGGTACTGACTGGTTGAGTATCTGAAACGTTCTAAAATCCAAAACTTTTTGAACACAAATGTGCTCAAAATTTCACAAATCCAGATTTTTGGGCTACTGATTCTGAACCAGTAAATATAACGCAAATACTCCAAAAACCCAAAACACACTGGTCCCAAACATTTCAGATTAAAGGGTACTCAACCTACTCAACCTAATTTGTCCTCTTGCACAGGGTCACCTCTGTCCTCACCCTATGCAAGCACAATTCAAAGAGTGGCATGGAACAGTCTGTTTCCCTCTCTCACAACATAACAGAGTCTGTCTTAAAACTACATTATGACAAGCAGGCTCAGATTGAGGCAACAGTCTCATGTAAGTGCTCACCATCAACCTGCCACGTGCAGGACAAAGGAGAAACACATACATTCAGCTCCCATGATTCAGCTGAGGTCCGTACCCCTGCGCCAATCATCACAGCCTGATCACAGGAAATGTATGCCAACTTGCGTAAACTAACAAACAAATGCAAACGTCAAATGTTTCTGTCACCAGCAGGAGCACAGTTGCTAACAGTCATGTGTATAAGCCACAGCTGTTAAGACAAAAGAGGCAATAAGCCTTTATCTCTTTCTGGAGATAGTCAACAGCCACATTTTGGATGAGCAATCAGATGTTTAAATCAAGTCACTTTCTTGTACAAGGTGCTGTGCACAAATACTCCCGACTTACTGACTCAGTCCACACATAAACAGCAAAGAATACAGCAGAACCACTTAACTGTGACTACCCCTACGAAGAATCTTTTTGTTGAATTCTGGAAAAATGAATATGCATTAAGGTCTCCATTCAGAAAACACAGAAAATTAGCATGTGAAGAAAGTGCTGATAAAAACATAAGCAGAATACAAGGGCACAAACTAAATTTGGGTTCTAGTCAAAGCCATGTTTAATAAACGCACTTAAATGGTGGATTCCAAAGCCTAAGTATAGATAGAGGCCCACATTTTAAGCTGAGGAATGGAGTAGGAAAAGCAATCAAAAATGATGCTTCAAGGTTGGGCATGGTGGCTCATGCCTATAATCCCAGCACTCTGAGAGGCCAAGGAAAGTAGATAGCCTGAGCTCATGGGTCCGAGACCAGCCTGAGCTAGACCAAGAACCCCCCCCACCCAACTCTAAAAATAGCTGGGCATTGTGACTAGCACCTGTATTCCCAGCTACTTGGGAGGCTGAGGTTAAGAGGCTTGCTTGAGCCCAAGAGGTTGCTGTGAGCTGTGACACCATGGCCCTCTACCAAAGGTAACAAAGTGAAACTGTCTCAAAAAAAAAAAAAAAAGTATCAATAACCCAGAAGACCAAAACATTTTCAAAACTATGCTTTTTTGATCACTTTGTTCCATGTAAGTGGAAATGTAAATGAAGTTGCTGTGAGCTATGATGCCATGGCACTCTACCCAGGGTGACAGAGTAAGACTTTGTCTCCATAATAAAAAAATCAAATAAAAATTAAAAATAAAATGTTTGTTTTTCAGCAACTTCTCATCAAAAATTTGTTATATATACTAGTTTGACCTCTGATAGAGTACACATCACAAAGCCCAATTTACTCCTCTACTAATCTAAATGTTTTAGACCCAAGTCCCAATACTTCTCATTTACACTGTACTCACCATGCTTCCTGGGTTCTCCCAGCTCTTAAAAAGAGGACAGCTATACAATTGAGAGGGATGGCTGGCCAATCTGGAGCAGTCTGTCTGCCATCTTGGCTTTCATAAGCAGATTTGATGTCAGCAGCACAGTCAGCAAACTCCTCCTGAAGCTAAAAGGGTTACACAGAGTCAGCAGCACTGCCTAATGGTTTAATGAGATTTTCAGCTCACAATAGTTCTGAAACATTAAAATTTTTGAGCAATCCATTTTACCACTTGAGTGTTATCACATGTACAGCACACAAGTAATGTAGTAGCCCTGTCCTGGGATAAATAAATTGATTAGCCATATCTTACAAATTCAATTATGGGTTTTCTTTTCATTTATTTATTTATATTTTATATATGTATTTTTTTAGACAAAGTCTCACTTTGTAGTCCTCAGTAGAATGCCATGGCGTCACAGCTCACAGCAACCTCAAACTGTTGGGCTCACGCAATTCTCTTGCCTCAGCTTCCCAAGTAACTGGGATCACCAGCACTTGCCACAATGCCAGGCGGTTTTTAGAGATGAGATCTTGCTCTGACTCAGACTGGTCTCCAATTTGTGAGCTCCAGCAATCCACCCACCTTACCCGCCCTGAGTGTTAGAATTACAGGCGTGAGCCTGCACCCAGCCTTGGGTTTTCTTTTCAGATGGAAATTGTTTTTAAAAGCAAGCTGAAGACAGAAAGAAGCTAATTTCACGTTGCTTGCTTTAGACTAAGGAAATGAGGGTGACTTTAGGAATGGTATTATGCTAACAAGAAGGTAACTTCAATCTAAGTTTGGGAGGCAGAACTTTCCACGGTGACAGATGAAACCAGGGAAACCAACCTTCAAAGGACCTCAATTTCAGAGGATATATGTGTTAGTAAAAATCTAGTAACAGTAACAAAACTTGAGTTTCAATACAGACTTACCTTTGGTGGGTGCTTATCCCTTGCCATGAGAATCAGAATCTCTTCCTTCAGGTCACTGTGGAAAGTATGACCACATTCTTTACTATCTTGAAACAAAAAAAGAAACACAGGAGTATCACTGTCATGTAAAACCAAGACTTTTTGGCTAGCTTTTGTCCAATGTTAGCTGTATTTTTTGGCAGGTAAAAAATAAGTTGCTGACTTTTTTTTTTTTTTTTGTAGAGATAGTCTCACTTTATTGCCCTCGGTAGAGTACCATGACGTCGCACAGCTCACGGCAACCTCCAACTCCTGGGCTTAGGTGATTCTCTTGCCTCAGGCTCCCTCTGGAGTAGCTGGGACTACAGGCACCCGCCACAATGCCTGCCTATTTTTTTGCTACAGTTTGGCTGAGGCTGGTTTGAACCCGCCACCCTCAGTATATGGGGCCAGCATCCTTCCCACTGAGCCACAGCTGCCGCCCAGTTGCTGACATTATTTATTCCAGGTTTATCCCAGGATTCCTAAAAACCAGCAGGATGATTTACACTAACAAATTAGAGCAGTGAAAGCCTATGCCAGTAACTGGTTCCCAGTGAAGTATTAAACACAGCTCTGTATGGTAAGATACTATTTTACAGTACTTGGTACTTTTCAATGTTACTAATTTTTTTGAAACTGGGCTTTGCTTTGGGGCCTCAGCCTCCCAAGTAGCTAGGACTACAAGGGGGCACACCACCATGCCTAGCTTTTGGTAGAGATAATCTTGCTATAGCCCAGGCTGGTCTTAAACACTTGGCCTCAAGTGATCCTCCCACCTCAGCCTCCTAGCGCTTAGGGTTACAGGCCTGGCGCTCAATGTTCTTTTATACACAGCCATTAGAGCAGCCCTCTGAAGTAGTAGGGCAGAACTATCACCTCAGTTTCTCAGATATGAAAAATGAGGCAGATAAAAACTGACTTTATGGTAATAATAGTCAGCTAATGGAAGAGATACAGAATATGTTTCATTTTGTAGTCAATTTATACACATAACACAAACCCACACCCATGGCAACTGTGGCAAGCAAAGTGATGAAACATTGGCACAGAGGAATGGTATAGGTTTTGACATCAAAGACTTTAATTCAGACTTTGGGTTTGGGTTTATGACAGGTCTACCCTCCTACAATGCCCATGCCAAAATACTCTAACCCTGAACCACTGACTGGCCTCTCTCTCTGCCCTAGGCTGTTGCACAATGGAAGAAGAAAAGGAAGGGGGATAAAAAAAAACCTAACCTTTCCAAATCTGAGGAATCACTTCTAGCCGATTGGCCACATCCAATGCTTGGAGAAGATCTATTAATGTTTGGGAGTGGGGAAAGAAAACCTAATCAAGAGAAATAAATTTTGAAAGCATTAATCAGTTAAAACACCCACAAATTCATCTACAATGATAAAGGACAAGTAATGAACCATCTTACTGAAGGTATCAGGTCCTTATACCACTTCAAGGTGACATCAATTTGTTCCATTAGACAAATTAAAGTGAAGAACTTGGAACTGTGGTGGAGAGAAAAAGTATGTTTAGTCTAAAATCCCCAGGTCTAACAACAGGGGAAGTAACTGGGGAAATTACAACATAGTTCTAAGAAATTAGTGAAATTACAGCATAGTTATATGATATGTGCTAGTTAGCAAGAATTTTAATATATTTGTAAAAATTCAAGTTTCATGGGCCAATTCTTGAACCAGAGTTGCCTACCTGTGCTCAACTTCCCAATTAACATCTTATCCCACCTGGTCATTTACTACACATAATTGCCTCCTCAATACACTTGCAGCGTCATGGTGAGCAAATACTGAATATCATATTAATTTTTAAAACACTGAATTTAAAGCAAGGATTTAGACAAGCAGAAAACAATCCTCATGTACCTATTAACAGGTTACTTCCTTAAGTTTGCATTTATGTCTGCATAAAAATAAACCCATTTAGGGAGCCTCTCTGAGCTCTAGTACTTTGATTTCTAAATATAAAATCAGGGGGCTGAGATGAAATCTTTAGGGACTTATCCTGCTAAAAATATTCAATAGAATAGGGAGTAGAATAAAGAGGTATGTGGATTTTTCAAAGTGCTGAAAAGAAAGAAATCTCAAAGGCTACAAGCTAGACTTCCAAATCTGGCAGCTTTACCACTGCTTTAATTTCTAAGTGCTCAAATAACCTATTAACTATTAAATCATGGGCATGCTGCCTGAAGCAGGTGTGAGATATGAAGGACTATCAAGAGCCTACTACTGGCAGCCTCTACTAATTCATGCAAAAAGGACTTATTACCGGCATACTTACTAATAGAAATGACGGCGATAATCAGGTCCAATAAATTTCCGGTTATCTCCAGTGTTTAACAGGCTATGTACTTGGTAAGCAAGTTCCAGATCTCTGAGAGATGAGCACTGAAAATTTGCAAACAGTAAGTAGCATTGTGATATCCTTATCAACCAAACAGCTGTTCACTAAAGAAAAAATACAAAGTTCCTTATGAAAATGCTGATTCAATTTATAACTGGTCGACAGCAAATAAGTTATGAGAAATTGGTGATGAAGGGAAAGATACACTAAGTTTTTGGAAACTTTTAATAAAATTATTTCAATTTGATGATTGTACCTTTAGGAATGAATTGTACTAAAACATCAGGACAAGGGCAGAAAAGACAGAGTGCTCAGCCTGCCACCACTGCACTAGCAAAACTCCATGAAATAACTAAGAGCCACCCACAGAAGAGTAAAATTACAGTTCATTCCTCCTGTGAAATAGTGGTTGCTGTTAACAAAACATCATGCAAATGTGTCTGGGTATACATAAATTTAAGAACTTAGAGAAGAAAACCTGGGAGGATACGTAATTAACAATAAAGTAATTACCCTTACAGAATAAGATGCACTTTATTCATCTTAAAATTGCCTGAAATTTTTCCCATGATGAAACAAAAAACTGAAATAAAAACCATTATCAATTTTAAAAGTTTCTATTATGAAATATACTAAAAGTTTACTGGAACAGAGGCATGAAAAGTCAGCATATACAATAAACATGGTAGAAATGTTATATAATCAAAAAGCATAGATTTTAGGGAAAGAAGAAAAATGAAAGCAAAGATATGAACAGAACTAAGAAGTAAAAGAATCAGGGAGAACTTTCCAATTACAGATGAATTTACAAAATGAATAGTAACCTAAAAAGGAAAATGAAGTTAAGCAAGAAATAGTACTTACAACTCTCATAGCTGACTGAAAAAACATACCTGAAATCAAAGTTCACAAAACCTTTGATTATTACAAATAAAATGTATTTTCAGGTCTATAACATTAATAAAAATCCCACCAACAATACTGCTAGGTGTTGGTTCAAGCTAAGGGAATAAACACTCAAGACAGACAGTATACGTGAGTGTACCCAACATTTTCGCTTTCTCATGATCACCCAAATACTACTAAGGTAAAAGGAAACCCTGTCCTCATCACAAGGCCTCTAATAACTGGCACTCAGGAAAACCAGCCCTGCCTTTACAGGAGGAAAACATAACAATTTTTGAACATACCATCATCCAGATCCCTTGGAGAAAATTTTTTTCCCATTAATTCACTCATTATATCATAGATGATTAGGGATGATCCTTTTGAAATGTTTTCTATAGAACAAGAAAGTAAATGTGTTTTATCATAAATCCACTTCTCATACTATCATGAAACTCCTAGCACTCAGTACAAATGCACACATTTCTCCTTCCTACATCTCCAGCCTAAAGCCTGGCATGGAGCTAGGAAGGGGGACAATGCTTGTTGCTAAAGGAAGCCCTGCATCTAGGGAAAAAGCCCAGTCTGAGAGTTTTCCCTTCCTTCTTAGTCTCTATGCGCAAGAAGCATGATTCTCACTGGAGTGGGAGGCACACACCCACACATACCCCCTCCAAAGCAGCATTCTTGCGAAAAAACTTGTTTTTTGCTAATAATCCCTTGTGTTCCCCTTAACATATAGTCAGAATGAGAAGGCCAATAAAAAGGAAACTAGAGAATTGATGGGAGCAATTCTTAAAATTTATGTAAGCTGAGTACTAATAGGTCAGAAAATATTATTCCTAGTCAAATATTTATCTACACTCTCTTCCCCACCTTTTGTACATGTAAGCAATAACATAGTTACAATGACTGTACAGATATATTTTTACAATTTCATGAAGCATGCTTCCATCCGGTAACGTTCCTAATGATTTTTATTATATAATATTCTACTTCTTATGTATTATTTCTTTGCTATTTTAAGTTATCCCCTTTGGGTAAATTCCTAGATTATTATTATTGCAGACATCCAATTTATATACATAAGACAAATCCACATTCCTCCCAGTCTATGTGGTCATGACAATCACTTAAAAAACAAAAGTACCTCTGACTTTGGTTAGCACTGAACCAAAGTGATATGAGGAAAGGGATCAGCTATACTAGTTTCACCACAATCTCATCAAAGTTGAATAAAGTTTCAAAGGATATAGTTATCATGGAAACTATCTCTACCCGTTTAGCTTTTTCCCTAAAACAAAACACAATAAAACAACAACAAAAAACCCCCTTGCTTATAGGGCCAGATGTGGTGACTAATGCCTGTAATCCCAACAATCTGGAGACCTAGGAGGGTGTATTGCCTTAGTTCAGAGGTTTGAGACCAGCCTGAGCAAGAGCAAGACCCCATCTCTAAAAACAGTCCGGCCATTGTGGTGGGCACCTGTGGTCCCAGCTACTTGGGAGGCTGAGGCAAGAGAATCACTTGAACCCAAGAGTTAGAGGCTGCTGTGACGTAATGGCACTCAACCGAGGGCAACAAAGTGAGACTCTGTCACAACATAAAACAAAACAAAAAACCCTCCTTGTTTATATAGGGGAGAGTATGGATTTTGCCAAATTAGCCCTTCAAACAGAGAGAATCAAGTTTGTACCTATAGTTCTTACAGTTTACACAGGAAGGAATGAAGAAAATTATCATTTCTGAACCAAAGGGTACTTTCTTAGGCTGGGAGCAAATGGGTAAGACTAATCACCACCACCACATCCTGATGCAATTACTCAGGTAGGTATCCAGTTTCTTTGACACAGACAATAAATAGATGGCAGAGCTGAAATTTCAGCTCTTATTCGCTTCATTCCAAAGTCCATTCAACAAAGCAAAGTACCATCTGGAACTGACATAAAAGTGGGTGGCAAATGGAGCCTCAAGGACTTTCCAAAAGGCTTCACAATTACTTTAACTTTCCTCTGTAGTAGTACCGTCCCACTAACTTCCTGAAAAGATGGAAATGTTCTATACACTACGTTTATCTGCATCACTGAATATGATAGCCGCTAAGCCATATGTGGGTACTAAGCACCATGGCAAAAAAAAAAAAAAAAGTTTATTTTACTTCCCCTCTTTTTTCTTTTTGAGATAGAGTCTTATTATGTAGCCCTCGGCAGAGTGCCATGTCGTCACAGCTTACAGCAACCTTAAACTCTTAGACTTAAGCGATTTTCTTGCCTCAAGCCTCTCAAGTAGCTGGGACTACAGGCACCCGCTACAACACCCAACTATTTTTTTTGTTGCAGTTATCATTGTTATTTAGCTGGCCCAGGCTGGGTTTGAACCCACCGGCCTGGGTGTATGTGGCTGGCACCATAACCACTGTGCTACAGGAGCCAAGCCTATTTCATTTTTTTATTAGAGTTAGGGTCTCATTCTATCGCACGTCTGGGCTAATAGCTATGCATTAAACAGCACAGCTCTGAAGAACAAAAAAAACTTCGGACTAAAATACCTTCTAATTTTATTTGGATACCAAAATTGCCAGTACATTTTATAGCCCTCTCCCATCTAGCTCAAGTTTTACATCAGAAACAAGATTATTACTCTCAAGTATAGCTTTCTGCTCAGGCTGCACACATTAATTTATGAATTCTCTTAATTCATATGCCAACAATATAACTTACAATAATTAATCACATAAATTCAAAGAAGCAGTCAATCTTCTGCATAAATTAATACAATTTTATGGCCATACATACCACGTTGATAAAACAGCTGAATAATATGGTGATATGTTGCAAGCGAGGGTTCTCAAATTATCAGGTATATGAAAAAAATAAGAAATAAAGTAAAAAGAGAGTGAGGCACATTGAATTTAAAACCTATTAATGTTAATATTTAAGTAAAAGATGAATTTCTATTTGTTTGAACAAAGATATTTTCTAGTTCATTTAATTAATGTAAAGGTGAAAAATTATCATAAGATTTTCTCACTTTCAGAAAAGTCCAAATACCTATTACCCGTAGGATTCTTCATCGAGAACAGTATATTGAAGTAAACTGATTTCCAAAGTGAACTTCAATAAATAATTAATGAAAAATATACTACCCTCATATTAATCTGAAATAAACTATTTTAAGGAAGAAAAATATACAATAGTTCACTTTTTCTTTTGTAAGACATGGTTGCCCTGTTTGCCAGGGCAGGAGTGCAGTGGTGTCATCCTAGCTCACCAACATCAAACTCGAGTGATCCTCCTGCCTCAGACTCCAAAATAGCTGGGATAACAAGCACACACCACTATGGCCGGCTAATTCTTCTCTTTTCTTTTCTTTCTTTTTTTGAGACAGTCTCACTTTATTGCCCTTGGTAGAGTGTTGTGGCATTGCAGCTCACAGCAACCTCAAACTCTTGGGCTTAGGCGATTCTCTTGCCTCAAACCCCCAAGTAGTGAGACTATAGGTACCCACCACAACACCCAGCTATTTTTAGAGACGGGGGTCTTGCTCTTGCTCAGGCTGGTCTCGAACCTGTGAGCTCAAGCAATCCATATGCCTCGAACTCCCAGAGTGCTAGGATTACAGGCATGAGCCACCATACTCAGCCCTAATTTTTCTATTTCTTGTGGAGATGAGGTCTTCCTCATGGTTAGATTAAAAATATGTAACATGTAAAAGCATACACATGGGTTCAAATACCTGATTATGTTAGATAAAATGTCAAGGAATTTAAAACTAGTTATGTCAAAGCAATCAGCTCTCATAATCAAAAGTTACTAAAAGAGCACCATAATTTGCTGTAAATAAAGAATATGAAGATGATGAAGGCACTTCCACAGTAAGTTCATTTAGTTAAGTGTGTCAAATGTGGAAAGAAAATCCCTAACCTATTATGTAAACAGTAAAAGCATTTACATGTCTTATTTGCTTATGTGGACCTATGGACCTAAAACCTCTGGTTAGTAGAGTATCTTCAGCGAGGACTCTAAAACATGCATTCTCACCTATTCCAATGGCTTTCATTTCTCGTAAGGTCTTTAAGGCTGGAAATTTTGCAAATACGTGAAATCTTCGGAGACATTTCAAAATGGTATTAAAAGTTTGTAGATTTGGTTTCACCTTCTGTGCAACCATTTGTTTCAGTAGCTCCTAGATGAATCAAGAGCAAGCAGTATGTTTTTATGTCTGGAAAGACAATTTGGTCAACAATATTTATTTCATACAAAATGAATTTAGCCTATGTATAAAGCAGGTTAGTAACTATATCCCTATTTTAAGAATTGCTTATTAGTAGGACCAGTGATTCTGCCTTTTAGAGAAGCCTCTAATTTAATCATCCATCATATTTGATGAAGGTGTCCACTATCTTTAGTCCTCTACCTCTGGAAGTTTTCCAAAAAAAAGACTCAAACAAAATAATGATATAACAATGATATAAAACATGTTCCTATTCCTAAGATACTAGACAAGAATCCATCCAGTGATTTCACTTCCTTGACCTTCCTGATAAGAACTTTACAATAAACTACATTTGTAACGTGTTACATTTGTAACAGAAAAATTATTATGATAAATACATGAATAAAGCTACCCAGGTCTTCCAGAATTCTAGCTATGTGCTCTGAGTCAAATAACTTTCTTCTCAGTATAACACTGCTACTTAGGTTACAGGGCTACCAGAATGGTGGTTAACAGGTAACTGCTCCACAACGACTGTCATATAGGTGCTCAAGAAATGCTGCCTCCCTCCCTTTCTATTTCTAGTAAAGGATTATTTAAGATCCATTAAAAGATAAACTGAGAGTTTCTCCTTACCAGTGTTTTATTCCATTTTTCCTCAAAATCCACATCCAGCCCTAATATCGTTGCTTCAATCAATGCATTGAATGTGAATACATCAGCTGCAAAAGAGTAAAATAACAAAATTTGAGATCAAAAAGTAACCCCTGGGTGGCTCAGTGGGCAGGGCGCCGGCCATATACACCCAGGCTGGCGGGTTTGAACCCTGCCCAGGCCTGCTAAACCACAATGACAAACTGCAACCAAAAAGTAGCCGGAGGCAGCGCCTGTGGTTCAAGGAGTAGGGTGCAGACCCCATATACCGGAGGTGGCAGGTTCAAACCTGGCCTGGGCTAAAAACTGCTAAAAAAAAAAAAAAAAAGTAGCCAGGTTTTGGGGTGGGTGCCTATAGTGGCAAGAGAATCACTTAAGTCCAAGAATTTGAGGTTGCTATGAGCTGTAATGCCAGAGCACTCTACTGAGGACGACATAGTGAGACTTTGTCTCAACAAAACAAAAACTAACCCCTAAATGGCTGAGTTTAAAACAAAGTGGTCATTCTTATATGTCTCTTGACTAATCCCCAAATTCCACAAAATTGAAAAATGTAGGTAGACTGCTTGAGCTCAGCAGTTCAAGACCAGCCTGAGCAAGAGTGAGACCCCATCTTTTTTTTTTTTTTTGAGACAAAGCCTCAAGCTATCCCCTGGGTAGAGTGCTATGGCTTCACTGCTCACAGCAACCTCCAACTCCTGGGCTCAAGCAAGCCTCCTGCCTCCGCCTCCCAAGTAGCTGGGACCACAGGCACCCGCCACAACACCCAGCTATTTTTTGGTTGCAGCCATTATTGCTGTTTGGTGGGTCCGGGCTAGATTTGAACCCGCCACCTTAGGTGTATGTGGCTGGCGCCTTAGCCTCTTGAGCCACAGGTGCCGAGCTGAGACCCCATCTTTACTAAAAATAAAAAAACTAGCCAAGCATCATGGCGTACCCACGGCACAGGGTAAGATTCTGTCTCAAAACAAACAAAAACACAAAAACAAGTAACTGAAAAAGTCTCATCTCTGAATCTCTCCTCCTGCTTCAATCACTGATGTCAGAAGAAGAGACAAAATGCAGGTCAATGACTGAGGCAAAAACTCAGTCACTGAAAGATCCAAAGATTTCACAGATTCTTAAGGGGAAGAAAGGAGAGAAGGATGGAAGGGAATTCCCAAAACATACTTACCATGGATTCTGTTGTTTAATAATTCAGTGTACAAGTTTAATGCTGGCTCATAAGCTCGATGCTGGAAAAGGAAAAATTAAGCACCATCAAATTCATTCATTTAAGTATTTGCACAGATTCTATTTTAAGTTTGAGGAAAGAACGATAAACAAAACAGATCGGGCCCTTTTCTCATGAAGCCTATATTCTAGTGCAATGATTTTCTACCCAGGGACAGTGGACAATGCCTAAACACATTTTACTACTCATTTCTAGTGAGTAGAGGTCAGGGAGCTACTAAACATCATAAATGCCAAGGACTACTCCCTCTAACAATCTGACCCAAAATGTTAGCAGTTCTGAGGTTGAAAAACCTTGACTTAAAGGAAATTAAAGATAAAAATAAATAAAACAAAGGTACCTTCACCATCCCTCGGATCACTGTGCAGTAGGAATGTGAATTTTTCTCTGGCATCAGAGTAAAGATTCTCTCAGCATTGTTTTTTGCGCTAGACACGAGAATAAACAGGAAAGACCAGTAATAGCTACCACCATTTACTAACAGTTTATAATGTTCAAGAAAACATGTGAAACATTTTATACATACTACTCAAATTCTTACTATCCAGAAAAGGGCAATGTCATTATTTTTAAAAATGGGAAAAAATATCAAGGCCCAAACACCAGGATTTGCAATTATGTGACAGAATCAGAATTGAAAAGGAAATGTTTATGAACAAGTAATAAATACCCACAGTATTTCAAGACCGGCCTATGGAACAGCAAGACCTTGTTTTACTAAAAATTAAAATGATCTGGTATGATGGCACATGCCAGTAGCTCCAGCCCTCGAGGCTGAGGAAGGAGGATTACTTGAGCTCAGGAATTAGAGGTTGCAATGAGTTATGATGATGCCACTAAATTTTAGTCTAGGGAACAAAGTGAGACCCTGTCTCAAAAACAAAAAACAAAACAAAACAAAAAACCCTAACACAGTTTAGTGGAGTTTCCTTGCCCTTCTTAAATCCTCAGATGCAACCCCTCAGGGGCAACTACCAACTGGTTTCTAATTCTAATATGTACATTACCTCTTCTCCTTTTCCTAAAGAGAAATAAATGGTGCCATGTTATGCAAACTATCCTATAACCTGGACTCTCCCCTTAATAATATGTTGCAGAAATCAGACAGAATCAGGATTTGAACAGGCCATGCTCTTAAATAATATAGAAAATTATTAAAATCTATCTCAAGATATTTAATCTTTGATTCTATTAAATTTATCACTTCCAAAACAATTTCAGGTATTAATGATAGCTTTCCTTCCCTAGATACTCATATGAAACATCATTCATTTAGATGCTCAGATAATTTAAATTCCTCAATGTAGTTAAGTGTTACTCACCTTTTGTTAAGAACTGCTCAATATTTCTGCCTGCTGGTCAGTAGTCTTAATTTAGTAGTACAGCCTACTACATTTTTAAAGTACATCCTAGTGTATATTTAACAAACATTTCAGAATTAGAGGTATATATTCCAAGGCAGCACTGCTGATGAAACTACCAAAGCAACTATATACACCGTGTCAAGGTTATGCTGAGTTAACTAAGAAAAAAGAAAATGAAGCATCAACCTCTAAATAGATTCTCGTGCAGCAGCTGGAGTTAAGACCTTATAAAATAAAGGTCTAAATGCCTATGAATATACACCATAAAATTTATATTGCACAATAAAAACAAATAATTGTAGATTACAGGACTACATCTTCTTCCCAGAATGATGGAGCATATTACATGCACCATAAGAAACTGTAATACAGGGTTCTAATTATTTATAATATACCTCCATGTAGCTCCAATCTGATGACCAGCTTTCCTCCTAAATTTCTTGTTACTTTCCTCTTCCTGGAATGAATTATCATTAGGAGAAATAAAAGTTAACACAATGGAATGTATTCTCCCAGTCAGGATACTAAAAATCAGAATGGTAAAGGGAATGCAGAAAAATAAAGAAAATATAAATCCAGCAAAAAGCAAAGCAGCAGCCCAGGAAATACTTACACCTATATATTTAATTTTTTAAGTATAAATTGGTGAATTCACAGGTGAAAAGCAATCATGGCCCTTAAAGCAACAAGTGATGGCCTAGAAATAAGAAGCCAGTGCCTTGTAAGACCTGGCCCATAGAAACTGGAAAACCAAACACCACAGAGCCTGCTTCCTCAGAGCCTTCCTCTGTCTGGCCTTATTCCCACAGAAATATTGTTCGTTATTAGAGTGAAAGGAAGAGAAGGCAACATATAATGTCCAACACTAATCAGAGCGAAGATGTTTTAAAGACTAAGTCTCATCCTTTATTTATAATCAAGCTGCTGTTGAGTGAGACAGACTTGGCTGGCACTGCAGAGGGAGGTGCTGGCTCTGCAGCCTGCTGCCTCAACAACTAGGACTGGAGAGGCAAAAGGTCACCTAGGCTTTAGATGATGCTCTGGAAAGCATGGTGTGACTACAACCCTCAGCCTATGTACTTCAAAAGACTTAAGAGTCTCTGTTTATTAAAAAAATCCACATTCAGTGGGGAAAAATTAGAAAAGATATAATGAAAAACACTCATAATAATCTCATCACTCAGCTACTACCATTTACAAACTGCTTATATTTCTCCAGAAATACCTTTAAATGTTCTTTATACATATGAAAAACAATTTTTGTGCAAATACAGTATGTATTTATTACTACATAGCCTTTTCTCCATTCGTATGATCTTTCCACACCCAAACAGATCTACATTAGTGTTCTCAATAGCTACAAGGCACCCTTTAACCACAATTGCATCTTCTACTATTGAACATCTAGATTATTTACAACATTTTGGCAATTAAGGCATAAATATCCCTTATGAAAAAGTCCATGGCTAGGCACCCATCAGTCAGTGGTTAGGGGACCAGCCACACACAGTGGGGCTGGCAGGTCTGAACCTGGTCTGGTCAGGGCCTGTAGTCCCAGCTACTTGGGAGGCTGAGGCAATAGGATCACTTAAGCCCAAGAGTGGGAAGTTGCTATAAGCTGTGACCCCATAGCACTCTACAGAGGGTGACATAGTGAGACTCTGTCTCAAAAAAAAAAAAAAAGAAAAGAAAAGAAAAAGTCCGTATCTGTTCACCTGATGCAAAGGATTGCTTGGAACCTTACCTCTAGAAGTAAGAGACAGGATACAACTCAACCTACAGGTGGCTTCTGGCACAACACTTTTTGTGTATCCCCCAGCCTAGCATACTACCTCCTCTCTGCCCATGTATGAATGCATTTTTGATGGGGCCTAGGCAATGGAGTCTTTCCCTCAAACATTTTTGATCAAAGCACTGCCTGAAAAGAAGATAGGCAAGGACACAATGTCAGGATCTGCTTCTGACACCACTTGTCAGGGCCCGGGACTGGCCAGGTCTCGGGCCTAGCTTAGGTAGGTTCCGGACGCAGACCGCTAAGCTACCTTGCTCAGGAACAGTTTCTCTTAGGTGCTTGAGGGCTATCTACTTTAGCTGGAGAGAGAAAGAGAGAGTGTGTCTTAGAGAGAGTAAAGCAGTCTTCTTTGAACAGACAGATCTTAGTCTTTAGCAGAGCTTGGTAATCTTCAGCAGAGAGTCGCTGTGCTGGCGTTCTGCAGGCAGGAGAGGAGACAGAGTCAGAGTAAGCATGTCCATGATAGAATGCACATGTTTTTTGACTGCCTGCTCCTCCAGCCTAATATAAGGCTGATCTCGTGCCTCTCAACACCACAGAGGTAGAGACTACCAATTCACCAATGCTCTCATCTCGCGAGCTCTCTCATATTAGTTAGAACTAAATCTCTCTCCATGCCCTTTTCACCAAGGTGTTCCATTACAGGTATTTCTTATAACTCTCACTCCTCCTAGCCATAGGCTATACGGGCTGCTACAACAGAATATTTTTAAGAGAGGAACCAGAGTTAATTCAATTATTAACAATCTTTCTATCCTTCCTGCACCAACTTTTTATTATGGCTATCATAACACATCTCAGTACAAATCTCTTTACCATTACCCTGACACGTGGCATAAGAACCTGTCTCATTTTCACAAAGTATTACTTTTAAAAGAAACTTAAAAAACAAAATTAATGCCAAAAGTAATTACCAATTCCTCTGACTGTTCAGTTTGCTGAAAAGAATAATCAGTGGAGGGCTCTTGGTCACCATAGTAACAAAGTAAATCCAAGAGATTATTTGTCGTTTCAAGAGACACAGTGGTTCCTGTAAGTAAAAAAAAAGGGAAAAGATACCTTTAAACACTAAGAAAGTAAAGCCTGAAAGATTAAAATTTTTTAATTTTTCTATTAGCTATGGCTTAGCTGGTTACACACTTAATCGTCATCTAGCACTTTATCAACTAATGAGCATGTAGTCAACATCAACTTAAACACAGAGTAATGAACACAATCCCTACCAACTGTGCAGTTTAACATGAAAGATTAAAATACAAGATGAAGTTTGACCCTGTGCACACTTACTTTATGTACTTATATCCTTGGGGAAACTATCTCATGGTTTTAATTATCACCTTCAAACTGAACACTCGGCAAAATATCCCCACTCAGTTCCATCGGTCCAAGTCCATTTGGACAAACATATGTAGAATTATTCCATTTAGACTGAGACCTTCGCTAAAATCTTGCCTAAAATATAAGCATAATTGCCCAACTATAGTTGCCTTTTAAAGACTGTTTTGTCAAAATACTATGTTCCCATTCTTGACACTCATTAAAAAGGAAAAAAAAGGCACAAGATGGAGAAAAGTATGAGATGGTACTATTTAAAAGAGAAAAACTACATCTTTCTAATCAAAGCACACTGATAAATAATAAAGCCCATTAGAAAATTTAAAAACAGAGGGAAAGTAGTCTAAGAGGGTACAGGTTATAGAGTGTAACTCACTGGGGTGATACTCTGTCAGAGATGTGAGAAATTACCTATGTTTCCTTTATAAGATTACTATAAAACATCAACTTAGAAAGCATACAATTAAAATGAGTATGTGAAATACCTTAGCAGAGTGTTTGGCACTTACTAGGGGCTTAACGATGAAATTCTATGATCCCTTCTCTGGTTTGTTAGCTCACTATTACTGAGCTATGGTTTCGACATCTGCCTTTACTGAATGCACATACCTACACAACAGAGTGGCTAAAACTAGAAAAAGACAAGCTTTGACAATGAGAATTTTAATGCAGACTCATACCAGATGCTGACCATGTTCAAGAAGCAGAGAGGACAGCTACCTCATCCAGTTATACAACTGATTAATTACTAAGGCTCCACACAGAAATTCTCAAACATAGCTTTCTGCAAGTGTTTCCTGTGTTCAAGTACATACTGAGTAATTCAGTCTAATTTCCATCTCTTCCGTGTTTAGCAGTTTTAGTACCAAACAGCACTCTGGATTCCCCAAAATACAAATAATGCCAGCTGCCTTTGATGTTATTGTATGTACATTCTTGTGACAGCTTATCAGCTGTGCTGTGTAGATGTGTACACCTGAAGGTCCATTACCTCTAATTCAGAGAGCCACATGATTTTAGAGCTACAGAACAATTAGGAGCAAAGCCCCTAATCCCCACTTAGCACTTTTTCCTTTTTAAGTATTTCTTTCTTGTCTATTTGAATACAGTATGTACACATCTAATATTAAATGGGTAAGGTAAGGAAGAACAGCTATATAATCTATCAGCTAATAGCTGTATCAGGATATCTCAATAAACAAAGATGCAATTCTGGCTCAGCACCTGTGCTCACTAGTTAGGGCACCAGCCACATACACGGAGGCTGGTGTGCCTGAACTGCCCAGGGCCAGTTAAAATAAAATGGCAACTGCAACAACAAATAAAAAAATAGCCAGGCTTTGTGGTGGGCGCCTATAGTCCCAACTATTTGGGAGGCTGAGGCATGGAGGCTGCTGTGAGCTGTGATGCCACAGCACTCTACCCAGAGCAAGAGTGAGACTGCCTCAAAAAAAAAAGTGCAATTCTATTTCATCTATAATTTTAAAACGAAGCTAAAGTAGAACATGAACTATTACTTATTCAACTACTGAAAGTATGAACACAGCCATCAAGCTCTAGAGTTAACAGTACTTGTAGCTTTTACTCAAAACTTTCTGGATCATGTAACTGTGGCCCACTTTAAGGTCATGTTCCTAGAGGGGCTTGAATCAAACTCAGTCACCTGCTTGCAAAAGCTGATCAAACATGTCCACGGAGGCTTTGACTTTTTTGAGCTTGATTCGTTCCTTTAGGGCAGCTTCACTTACTTCTTCGATTCGAGGTTCAAAACACTCAGGCATTAAACACTAGGAAAACCAGATGGTTAAGCTACGGCAAGCAGGTAAAGGTGAAGGGGTGACTAAGACAATATTTTTATTACTAACACACCAAGATAAAACATCATTGTTCCACTTCACGTTCTTGCACCAAATACAATTTTAACATGGATATCTTTATAGGGAATCTAACTCAGAAAAATTAAGAAACAACAAAAAAACTTCCCCAATCTTTGAGACAGGAAGACTATTAAAACAGCTATCTTCTAGCTTGACAGGAATATAAAAGCACCCAACATAAATATTTAATCTATATCTGAAGATCCCTATTTCCAACTAAGTTTCCTAATCTCAAGCTGAAGTTACTATTTTTCCCCTCCCAAAAGCATTCTTCCTCTTTACACCAAGAACTGAGGGCAGACTGCCACCCCAACAATGTCACAGAAAGTAAATGGAAAAAATAAGATGAAGGACAAATATACATAAAAGATTAGTATTTTTAACAAATGCAACTTCACACTTCAAAAAACTTTATCCAATACTCAGGATATTCAAATGGATACTTAAATATTAGCCATGAACTCTTGCTTTAATTTACATTTATATAACATTAAGCTAAAAAAAAAAAAAAAATCCAACTCCCTCTCCTTACCGGTATATGTGGTTCAGCTATGTCCTTCTGAAAATATTTTGGATGTGAATTAATAATAAACTTTGCTGCATTCTCCCCAGACTTCTTTGCCAGTAAAAACGAACGCTATAAAAACAAAAAGATTTAGATACAAACTGGTATTTACATGTACTACAGATTCAAAGAACATCAAGGTTATACTTTCAGCATAAATTATTATTCTCTCCTCAGGAAAAGAATCTAACAACACACAAAATCACAATTAGAAGTAAAATTACATGCTAGGTGCAGTGGCTCACACCTGTAATCCTAGCACTTTGAGAGGCTGAGGCAGGACGATCACTTGAGGTCAAGAGTTTAAAATCAGTCTAAGAGTCTGAGCAAGGGCAAGACCAGGCGTTCTCAAACTACGGCCCACGGGCCACATGAGGCCTGCCGGGTGTTTTTGCAGCTGCTGCCTGTCCTGCTTAGTAGCCAATTCGTCCCAGGGCCCGCAGTTCAGCCCTCTAATGGACTGAGGGGCAGTGAACTGGCCTCCTGTTTAAAAAGTTTAAGGACCCCTGGGCAAGACCCTGTCTCTACCAAAAAACAAAAAAAGAAAAGAAAGGAAAGAAAGAAAGAAAAAATTGAGAAAGCATGATGATGTGCACTTGTAGCCCCAGCTACTCCAGAAGCTGAGGCAGGAGGATGACACTAGTTCAGAAGTTCGCAGTTGCAGTAACCTATGATGATGCTGAAGCCTTTAGCCTAGGCAACAGAGCAAGAATCCATCTCCAAAAAAGAAATAAGTCACATAGTTTTAGGTCATGTTTTATATACAGCTTTAAGTATGTATTTCTTTTAAAAAAAAAACCCTTAAAACGAAGCAATGCAATAAAAAAAAAAGCCATAAGTTTATTAAAAATCAAAACCCCTCTCCTTCCTCATAGACAACAGTAGATCTTTTTTTTTTTTTAGAGACAGAGTCTTACTACTTTGTCACCCTCAGTAGAGTGCCATCACGTCACAGCTCACAGCAACCTCCAGTTCTTGGGCTTAGGTGATTCTCTTGCCTCAGCCTCCCAAGTAGCTGGGACTACAGGTGCCTACCACAATGCCTGGCTATTTTTTTTGTTGTTGCAGTTTGCCCAGGGCTGGGTTTGAACCCGCCACCCTCAGTATATGGGGCCAGCGCCCTACTCGCTGAGCACAGGCAGCGCCCAACAGTAGATCTTTTTGATAAAAGTTGTAAAGAATTCACAAAGCCTATCAATTTATCTATCAGTGTCTTAACTCTTAACTTTTCAAAGGTGTTTACAACTATATTGTGTATGTATTCTTTTATACTAACTAGCAAGACAAAAAATAATACCAGAAAAGTTATATGAAAATACTCACAGATTCCACAGAAGACGCTGGAATAAGGTAGGGATCATCTTGAAATGCATAAGGTGCAGCCGTGGTGTCCTGTGGAAGGAAAAAAGATGACCTTATGAGTCTGGGTAATAACAAAAAATTCTAAAAGTAAGTTTTAATTACATATGTAACACACATGCAGAAATATGTATTATATACATGCATACATATTTATATAGATATATATGACAAGATAGACAGAAGGCACATACTAATACATATACTGTACCTTTCAGCTTTGCCACGAGTTGCCTATAATTATGCAAAACTTAATACAAGCAATGGTTCAAACCACTCTACAGCTGCTTAAGATATGAATCTGCTATCACTGATGACCACTGCTGTTTTCAACTATACGTAAGGATCCTCTGAATACTAGTCCTGGAACCAGTATACCAAGACAGATAACCTCCATGGTCACTATCCATCCATGTGTAACTTCATCCAAGAATCCCTCCTCCAAACACGCTTAAGCTTCTCAGGAGAAGTGAACAGCAGCTTCTCCACATCCTGGTGCCCAAGGTTCCATATTACATTTTTTTTTTTTTTTTGAGACAGAGTCTTACAATGTCAGCCTCAGTAGAGTACCTTGGCATCACAGCTCACAGCAACCTGCAATTCTTGGGCTTAAGCAATTCTCTTGCCTCAGCCTACCAAGTAGCTGGGACTACATGCGCCCACCACAACACCCCGCTATTTTTGTTGTTGTAGTTGTCATTGTTGTTTTAGCTGGCCTCGGCTGGGTACGAACCCACCAGCCTCAGTGCATGTGGCTGGCACCATAACCATGTGCTATGAATGCTGAGCCCCAAGGTTCTATACTTCTTAAAGTGTTTTAAAATTGTTCCATAACCTTGAGCATGATCAATTCTTCAGCATGATCAAAGCCCCCACTTAGATCTGCCCCAGAATTACCTCCTCTATACCCTCTACTTGGGCCTTCGAGGGCCTTTGTTCTGCCTTTCTCTTGAATCTCTTCTGACTACCCCCTTGATGTCTTGTCTTACTAAACTGAACTCTGCTGGGGGCAGAGCTTCCCTGAAGCTCTCAGACCTGGAAACTAGAGGCCCTATTTTTTTCTGTCCTAGCTCTCTGCTACCACTTTCCAACCCCCTTCCCTCTAGTCTGCCACACTCCTCAGGTGAGGCTCATTTCATTTGGTTATATTACTCTCTTTTCAAGATGTGGTAGGTATGGAAAGTAAAATCAGAAATAGCAGTTCTAGGCCAATTGTCCTAGACTACTCCCTAATTACAACCAAACTATTATTTGTCTTTGGCTCTGCTTTTCTCCATCACCTCTACTGAAGACACCTGTTGTGACCTCTACTTGTGGTGGCATACTGAACTCCTCTTAATAGATTCATTCTTCCTATCTGCCTCCCAATTTTCTTTTTTTTTTTTTTTTTGAGACAGAGCCTCAAGCTGTCCCCCTGGGCAGAGTGCCGTGGCATTACAGCTCACAGCAACCTCCAACTCCTGGGCTCAAGCAAGTCTCCTGCCTCTGCCTCCTAAGTAGCTGGGACCACAGGGGCCCGCCACAACGCCCAGCTATTTTTTGGTTGCAGCCATCATTGTTGTTTGGCGGGTCCGGGCTGGGGATTTGAACCCGCCACCTTAGGTGTACGTGGCTGGCGCCTTAGCTGGTTGAGCTATAGGCGGCAAGCCCCCAATTTTCCTTTCTCTGTGACTTCCAAGTCCTCCTCCATGGTCTGTAAGAAACAACTTATTAGGCTCAGCGCCTGTGGCTCAAGTGGCTAAGGCGCCAGCCACGTACACCTAAGGTGGTGGGTTTGAATCCAGCCCAGGCCCACCTAACAACAACGGCTGCAACCAAAAAATAGCCGGGCTTTGTGGCAGGTGCCTGTGGTCCCAGCTACTTGGAAGGCTGAGGCAGGAGACTCACTTGAACCCAGGAGTTGGAGGGTCCTGTGAGCTGTGATGCCATGGCACTCTACCCAGGGCGACAGCTTGAGGCTCTGTCTCAAAAAAAAAGAAACAACTTATTAGTCTTCTAGCTCTGTAGCTCCAATGCCTCAAACCAAATTTATCTGAACATTCCTGACACAGCTACTCTCTCCTCTATCACTGGGTGAACGGCACAGACATCTTTTCCCACTGCTTCCATTCAACTCACCTGTCACTGGTGTCAGCCAACTTGGCTCCTTAATATCCCCCACCTACCCTATTTTCTCTTATCCCAACTGCCACTGCATCTTTGTTCAGTTCCTTCCCTATTCATTCATTCAATATCTACTGAGCACCTCACATGTCAGACATTAGTCTACTAGGGAGACTACAAACATCCCTGCCCTCTCACACTGTTTACAATCTAGTGAGAAATAAATCTCTAGGAAATAAAATAACAAATACAAAACTAAGAAGGCATAGCAAATATTAAAGCAGAGGCATATATGCTTGCCTACTGAGAAACTGAGAAACAGCCCGAAGGCCAGGTAGATAGAACAGAATTAGCAAATAACACAGAAACAGATGTGGACAGCAGTAAAGGGGAATATGCAGAGCCTAGAAACCCTGGCATAGACTCCTCTTAATAGATCCATTCTTCCTATCCTATCCTATCCAAAGCTGTTATTCCAATTACAACAATGGGAAGCCACTCCTGAATTCCAAGTAAAGTGATCCAGGGTCACTACAGCTGCTGCACTGAGAAGAGTATAGAGGAGGTTGAGTGGGATAGGACAGTGACTGTTGCAATTAACTTAGGCTAGTAAGGAGAAAATGGTGACCAAGTGATGATGATAAGTGTCTGGAATTTGGAAAGTGAAAAGGCCTGAAACCACTATCTTTAGAAAGTCCTGCTACCAAGGTTGGCCCTCAGCTAGCATCTGGGAACTCAGATTTTAGGAGTGTTCCTACCTTTACTAGAACTGCTAAGAATGGCTCACTGTGCCCCACCTGTTTGTATAGTGTGTGGCTTATGCTGAACACATGCTTTCCTTCTAGGTGTATGGAACTTGGTATATGTAAGCCACAGGATGGCAACAAGACCAGCCTCCCCTAAACTCTGGGCACTGAGTCTATAATGAGTTTTCCCAGTGGAAATTTCACATGTGTTGTCACAACTAATTGCTGGAGGGATTATGCATGTCCTTTGTGACTCCTCTGGGAAAGGACTCTTGGAAGCTCATGCCTAGTTTTATCTCATGTGCTTCTTCCCTTTGCTGACTTTCTTACTGTAATAACTCTTCGCTACGAGTCCTCCTGGCAAATCCCTGAACCTAGGAGTGATCTTGGAGACCCCACCCATGTATATTTTGAGAAATAAGGGCTTTATTAATGTGAAACATGACAGAGGAGCCAATGACGACTCCCAGAATTTTGGCATGAGCAGTCTGAGCAACTGCAATTAATAAAATGGCAAAAAAAAAAAAAAAAGGAGGAGCAAGTGTGGAGGGAAAGGGTTTAACTTTGGGCATACTGAGGTCTTTATCATACTTTCAAGAGGAAAGTTTTCTCATTTTCCACACAGCTGTATTTTTTAACATTTGTCTGATTATGTCACAACGTCTGCTTAAAGTTCTTAACTTTTTATCCAAAGTTCTCATTTGGATAAAAATGAGAACTAGCATGCCATTGATGATCCTGCTCCTCTCTCTGCCCCTCAAGTCCTCCACTTCCACCATACAAAACTACTCCTTCCACGCCTTTGCACACAGTGCTGCCTCTGCTAGGAATGCTTTTCTACTATGGCATCCCTCTTCTCCCCTTCCAGTTATCAACTCTTCTAGAAGTCCTTTCCCAGGTTGGTTGATATATCCCCTTTTCAGTGCTACTTCAGTCTTCCCCTCTAGGAACTATGGAAGGACTACATCTAACTTCTATACCCAGCACAGAGATTGGTAAGCATTGTAAGGGTACAATATGTGATAAGCAACTATGTCTTGGATCTTAATAGCCAAAGCCCAGATAAGTAGATAATTCTACTACAACTTCTCTAACTTAAAGGTGATCCTGGGCTATTCTTACTAAAACATTGAGAACAATCTCAGAGGCCCATTTCGGGTGCCTATTTATGGATAAGTGAGCTGAAAATCTCAATGCTTTTCAAGGGAGGAGATGTGGTATTTAAAAACTCTTCTCCAGAAATAGGTAGAGTATACCAGTGCATTTTTAGCTGGACACCATCTTTAGTAGTTCCATATTCTGATATAGTTTAACATCTACAAGAGAAGAACAATTTTGGATATTTGTGATTCCATCTTTGATGCATTTACCAAAGTTTCAGTGCATCTACTGGCTATAAACTTTATTCTTGAGTTGTCAACATAGCAAATTTCATTTGTTAATAGAGGTGCAGCAATAATAAAATAGCTATTTTTTTTTTTTTTTTTTTTGAGACAGAGCCTCAAGCTGTCCCCCTGGGTAGAGT